CTACCCACTACTACTCATGTATACAAAGAAAGATACATATAAAACTCTCTGAGCTCATGAGGCTGGTGATATAGCACAGCAGAAAGGGTCCTTGCCTTGCATGCAGCTGGCCCTGATTCAAACACATGTGCCCCACAGGAGTGATCCCTGAGCACAGAGCCAGGAGTAAGCCATGAACCCTGTTGATTGTAGTCTGAAAAACAATGACAAAAATTTTTGAACTAAAAAAAAGAGAGAAACTGAACTCTCTCAGGATTTACAGTAGATTAGGCAGTCACGTACACCCATAAAGAGTATGAACCCAGAATTAGACGTCTGGTTGGATAAAAACAGTCACACTGGCATCCACGTTGGCCAAAGGCAGCAGGGGGTAAAAGAGGTGGGGCAAGTAGATGAGGAAACTTGACTGACTCTTGCTTTTAGAATTGTTCAGTGACATTGTTTAAGCTCGATTGGGAAACAAAGCATGGAAAATGTTTTGTAGTAGACAGAGTTCCAGTACATAAAGTGTAATTTTTATACTTAGCTGTCATTCTTTTCCAAACTGAATTGTACAAAGTGAAACAGGTTGAATTAATGTCAGTAATTAAGGCCTATCCATCTGTAAAATCATGTCCAGATTTACATAATTATGAAGGAGAGTTTAAGCTTTAAAAATTCAAAAACGTTCTCGGGGCCAGAGAGCTAATACAGGAGGTAAGACACTCGCCTTGCAGATCACCGACTCCAGTTCAATCTCTGGCCCATCTAGGGGCCCCTCACCATCCCACCTCATCATCACTGCCATCACGTGCTCTCTTGAGCATGGCTGGCCCAGATCCCTACCGCCAGCACCAAATGCTCTTGAAACCTTAGAGTTTACATGGCAATCATGGTTGTGCCAACTTTTATTTGAAATATGAGATAAATAATTTAGTTCAGAATTGTAGCCTATTGAAAAGGAACAGGTTTTTTTTTTCCCTTATAGCTACATGCTAGAACAGGAAACATGTAAGGGTCTGAAGATTATGTATATTAGCATTAGTGATTATATATTTTCTCCTCTTAGGCTGAAAAACTAGATGTTTGCTACTTGTGAATCTCTCTCAGCTCTTCATGAAAAAAAATTTTTTAAATATACGTATAAACAAAAACCTTCATACAAGAAATTATTCCTGGGGCTGAAGTGATAGCGGGGAGGGCATTTGCCTTGCTACAGCTGACCTGGGTTCAGTTCCCAGCTTCCCATATGGTCCCCTGAGCACCGCCAGGAGTAACCCCTGAGCATTGCCGGGTGTGACCCAAAAAGCAAAAAAATAACATAATAAAAAGAAATTATTCCTCATTTATCTGCAATAAAAAACAGGATGTTTCGAAGCATTGAATATCTGATTTACATTGGATTTTTATTGCTTTTTAAAGAATCAGGAAAATGCATTTAACATTAAAATGGCAATAAATGTAATTTTCTTTGTTTCTGAAAGCCATTTATAATCCTAAGAGCACATTAAGTTTGCCTTTTTGTAGTACTTATTACCAGAATTGGTTTATTTTTCTTTCTAGTGGTTTGCTTCAAGTAAATGAAAGCAAATGATATTTGAGTTGACATGTAACTCTTCATTACATATATTTTATTTAATAAATGTTGAAGCATTTTGAAATCAGGATCTCTTCCATTTCTTTAATGCTTCAAGATTCCTGTGGTTCACTAATGACTTTGAAACAAATTTAATTTCAGCTTTCTTTAACAATTGAAATTTTTTACTTTTGGTGGGAGAAAAATTAGATTCAATGAAATTGGAATTATATGTAGTCCTAGAGGAAATGGAGCATGGGACTATAGCTCTCATTGTTCTGTAGGTTTCCTGCACTGGTCACATCGGGAACACGTACTCTGTAATAGAAGCTAGGCACAGGAAACAGCCATTCAGCAGATGAAGCACATTCAACAAGCCAAGAAAACAGAGCTCCCTGTTTGCTCTTCAGAACAAGAATAGATACTGACAGTCACAGATAACTCCCGAGTATAATTTGCTTGGTAGTTTTATCCATTTTCTTACCATCCCCCACATTTCTTTTCATAATTACCAAACTATAAAAAGAACACTTTTGTGTTTCGTCCATTGATTTTTCCCTGTGTGTAATCTAGTAGAAGTACTAATGAGCAATGAAATAGCCTAAGGCAGACAGCGGGGTAGGAAACAATGAATTTGATTAATCAATCTGTCCAGAATAATCAAGAGACTATAATAATATCTGGGATAAATCTAACTAGTGGAAAGTTTGTTCATTAAAACACGACTTAATTTTATCTAAACAAAAGAGTTATACATTTTAATTGATTTGGGGGGCTAGTTTCTCTTGAAAAGGACATAATTACCCTCTCTACAATCCCCTGTAATTACCTACTATTTCCCAAAACTTCCAGCCAAACCTGAAATAGAAGTAATTGACTCTTTAAAACCTTTTCTCATTTCAGAAATAACATCTTTCATATTATTTGCCCATATTCCTGACCACTCCTATTTTTGCCTTTTCTCCTACTTAACTACTTATGATAATAATTGGCTTTTTCTTGTGTTTTTTAATATTCACATGTGACTAGTCCCATCTATTGATTTTATTTTTTTTTAATGCCCACTTGCAAATCTACTTTCTTGGTCTCAAGGCATTTTATTTCTTCCGTGCCAGAAAGATAGTACAGGGGTTAAGATACTCTTACCTCATACTCAGCCAAATTCAGTTTAATCCATGGTACTACTTGTGGTTCTCTGAGTACCACCAGGAGTACTTTTGCCCTGAGCAAAAGCCAGTATTAGGTTCTAAACACTGCCCCTGTATGGTCCATTCCCGCCTTCCCCCCCTCAAAAAAATATCTTTCTTCCACTTCCCCCACCCCTGTCCTAAGCCAATCATTCTGTTTATTTCTTGTGAGTTTTGTTTGGTTTGGCTTTGGGTTTCTGTTTTGCTTTGATTTAGGGCCTCTCTTTGGGGTGCTTGGGGCTTACTTCCAGTGGTTCTGTTCTCCAGCATCACTCCTGATGGGATTCAGAGCACCATATCAGGTGCTGAACCCACATCATCTACATACCTGGCAAGCGCCCTACCTGCTGCACTATCTGTCCAGCCCATCTTTATTTCTTAGACCCCAAACTCCACTGTTCTCTGTGGTACTCCTTCCTAGCTACCGGAACCTTCTGATTCTCCTCCCTCTTCCACTAAAATTTTGGAGCAGCACCTGAGTGTGGGTCCTTGCCATCCAGCCGTCATTCGTAACATGTTCCATCTTCCTCTTCATTGAACTACAGTGGCCTCCTGACTGCTGTTCTCTACACCTCTCAACCTTTCAACTCTTTGCCACACTACAGCTGCGGCATCATTTCCGACACACTAGATCAGCCCTTCCTCAAAACCAAAGGAGAATCAAACCCAGTGTTCTCTCTTGGGCGGCCAATATCCTGTAGGAAATTGTCACCTACCAGCTCTGACATTTCACCCGCTTTGGGCCGTGCAGTCATCAGACAAGTTGATTGCTTCTGTCTGAATACTCTCTCTGGATTCATTTCGGTGGGGGGCAGGCTGGGGGGGGGGGTGGAGTCTGTTATTTCAGATTCACACTTTTCAGTGTGGAGTTAAACTGGATTCAGTATTGTTTCTTTATGTTCCATTCTTTACCACAGCAGTACTTTAGTAACATTTCTTTACTCTTCTGTGTCTCGCCTCCTTTCTTCATTACTTCAGTATAACTGACTACCCACTTCACAATGTCTCTGCCTTCACTCAGCTGTGCTCCCTGAAGCACATGTGCTTTCATTTCCATTTCTTTTTTCACATCTGTGGGGAGCCTCCCAAGGAGCAAGCCTGGAGACCCACTCAAGGCAATATTTGACTTAACCTGGCCCTGTGGTTTGATGGCTGCCTTGTGGTGCTGGGGCTGCGAAGCCACACACCCAGCAGTGCTCACCGGATTTGACGGCTACTCATGACTATGCAAGGGAGACCTCTGGTTCCTGTACATGGAAGGCTTATGCCCTTCAACACTTCAGCTATCTTCCCGGTCCCTTAAGTTTGGTTTCCATTATAAAAACAGGCATGTGTATGTTTTATCTATGTGTGTGTGTGTGTGTGTGTATTTATATATGTTTACATATATATAACCTTATGTGTAATCTTATGTATATGTATATGTATATATAAAATCTGTATACATTTGAAAAAAATGTTTACATTATTTTTTTTCAAATGTCTAAGATTAGATTATTTTGTGTATTCTAAGTTGCTAATGTTGACTCTCCTGGCTTATTAGAATCATTTTCATAAACTTATGGTTCTGAATTGTTCTTTTGCATTGATGAATAATTTCAGTTATGCAGAGATAATTTTACATTATTTTAATTGTTTGAGCGATAGCATAGCGGTAGGGCGTTTGCCTTGCACGCAGCCAACATGGCCGACCCGAGTTCGATTCCTCCACCCCTCTCGGAGAGCCCGGCAAGCTACCGAGAGTATCTCGCCCGCACGGCAGAGCCTGGCAAGCTCCCCGTGACGTATTTGAGATGCCAAACACAGTAACAACACAGTCTCCAATGGAGACGTTACTGGGCCCGCTCGAGCAAATTATTTTAACTGTATAAATTATTTTAAAGGAAGCAAGTCCAATAAGGGTTTAGAATTAATGAAGTAAAAATTGACTTTGTTTTCCCTCCTGCATTGAACCAAGCTTTAAAACTCACAATGATTTCTCCTCTTTAGGTTCTTACTATATAAATGGACTGTTTCAATATTAAATTCATTGTGTTGTGTGTGTGTTTGTGTATTCTTATTTCCAATTGTTTCTAATGCACTTGTCAATTCTTCAGACAATGTAAGACTCAATGTGGAACCAGGTACTCATGTGTCTTCTGATACTACACTATATAGAAATGGGCAGAGAGTAACTATTACTTAGTTTCAAGTATAATGAAAATCTTTTATCCATCTGTCATTGGAATATTTAAGTCTTGTGTTTTTTTCTCTCCTAGAAATTTTCAATTTTTAAACAACATTCAACCTTGTGACACTGAAGAATTTTGATCATTCCAAGTCTTAATGCCACACCACTACTCCAGTGAATATATCCTACGACTGGTAACAATGACCAGAAACCTGAAGAATTAAAATGCCAACACCAAACCTTACCTTAACAGCTCTGGTCTATACTGTTCCCTTGCATTTAATATATTATTTTGTTTTATAACCACTTTTGAATATTTAGTTCTGGTTTTTGTTAGAGTCTTAGTTTTGTTTCCTGGTTACTTTTGTACAAGTACCTGCTTTTTATGACATTTTGAACAAATGATAGTGGACAAAGCCAGCCCCAGCTGGTAGGGTGCTGTTCACTTGATCGGGTGCTGTTGTGCTGAAAGGAAACTGACTAATTTAGATAGTAGCTTTCCTTTTTCCAAATTCTTCCCCTTGAATTCTTACAGTTAATATTGACAGTTTTTTGATTACAGTAAGTATGCTGTACGAGAAACTATTAATACAGATTAAAAGCATTTCTTACATCTTGAAATTTTTCTAATGTTTTGAGAACTTTACTGGGGATATTTTTTATATCAAACCCTTTGGACCTTCCAGTCCTATGGCTTTTTACTTGGAGTAGAAAGTCAGATACTCTCTGTACTGGAAAAGTGAGGAAGTTGACTGACCACGCACTGTGTTGAGAGACCCTGTCCCACCACAGTGCCAATGCTTCTCAGACACATGCTCTTCAGCAGCATTCCAGAAAACAGGAGGGAAGAAGAAGAGAAAACGGTTCATTCTTCCCTTCTACTAAAATATTCGGGCAGCTCGAAACCTTAGTGCTTTCTTTCTTAACATGTCCAAATTTCAATACTTTCCATATTTGAGCGCTTGTGTAGGACATTTGCTTTGTATTAATTCTCTTTTGTCTTTGTGTCCAACTGACCTTTCGTTATTGAGCAGGTGTATCTCTTTCAAATAGTTTGATGACTTGCGTGGCCTCGAGGACCCCAGGGAGAGGAGTAGGGGCTATGGTGGTTTTTGGATGGTTCTAAGAAAACTATCTGCCATGGAAAACTGAAACCCAGAGACCTGATAGGGATTTATTAACTGTATCAAACCCTTTTTCTTCTGCTTTTGACTCTATGTATAGTTATGATGCTAGGTTAGATTTATAGCAGCTTTAAGTTGTATTAAATGATATTCTACTTTCTGTAATACGGTTATAAAATAAAGTTTGTTTATTCTCTATACTTGTTGCTTTTTTTTAAAGGGGTTCAAACAAATTTGTATTTTCAGTCAGGAGTCTTCCTACCTTAGGAAACATTGCTGTATATAGTATGTGATGTATATATGTGTACACACAGACACAGACACACACACACACACACACACACAACCAGCATCTCCAATATCATGACTAAAGCAGAGCTGGAAGGCTGCATCTCATATATAGAATGCCAAATCCCTTCCTTCTGCCTGGTTATATAATCCACCGCAACTTTTACAGATTCTCCAAGGAATGTTTGCACTTGTTTTCTTTGTGTGTTTTTTACATTTTGTCTCGGAAATGCTGTAGTTGAACTCAATGAATCCCCCATCTGCTTTGTGGTTTGCTTTACCGTCTCCTGAGAATGCACGTCCGAGTCTACTTGGAATGCACCAGCGTGACAGTTTGGAGAAGACACATTAGATCAAGTGCTTAATTTCCTTTTAAACATTTTAAGTATTTTAAATCAAATAACCAATAGGGAATATATATTTTTAAAGCTGGCATACAAACTTTCTTTCCTTATTTCAAATGAGGTTTTTTTTCTTTGCCTTTTTGGATCACACTCGGCGATGCTTAGGGGTTACTCCTGGCTCTGTACTCAGGAGTTACCCCTGGCGGTGCTCGGGGGACCATATGAGTTTTTAAAATCTAATTTGTGTTGCTTTTGCAGGGGATATAATCCTACATAATTCTTACCTTGTGAAAGATCTAATTTTCTCTAGGATTATTCCCAAAATTACTCCTTGTGGCCAGAGAGAGCGTATAGCAGGTAAGGTGGTTTGATCCCTGCCACTACATAAGTTCTCTGAGCACAGCCTAGACTAATTCCTGAATACAGAGAGGAATAAATTATAGCACAGCCAGGTGTGGCCCAGCAGCCACCCCCACCCACTTCCAACATTAAGTTCCCCTCCATCTCACTCCAAAAATTCTCAGAAAAAAAAAAGTGTCTCAGCACACCAAGCCTGGAAATATTATGGAACCAAATGTGATTATGTAAGTGTATTTCATCAGAAAGCTTGTATGTGTAACATTTTTAATCATAGGCTATTCTTGCCAGGGCTTTTTTTTTTGAGAAATTTATCCTTCCGTATTTCTAATTATAATTGCAGTGTTGTGTGTGTGTGTGTGTGTGTGTGTGTTTGTGTGTGGGAGGGGGAGACAGCAGACAGCATTCCAGTGGAATAGGACATGCAGTATTTATCAGGACTCAATTTCATTTTGCTATTATAGAAAGGATAGAATTTAGAGTTTCAAGAGTCGTCTCAGAGTCAATACAGAGCATTTGTGGGATCTAGGGCTCAAAGAGCGGCAAGACTACTAGTGCTGGTAATGCTGTATGTGGACAGAGGATGAAGGTTACCTCTTCAATACTTAGAGTTCCTTATGTTTTCTCACTTAGTAAAGGCTGAGCTTTGAAAATCTCACATGATAGAATAAGAAAATAGCAAAGTTTTCTGATAAGACATTCAAGTACTGAAACAAAATGATATTTTTCAAATATTCAGAATGTCAGCAGGTTTTTTGGCATTTGACTATCATGAGTAGCTTCTATTTCCCTTTGTGTGATACACTGTAGTGCACTCATTGCATAGACCTTAATTCTTAGAATAATTTGCACCAGAATTCTGGCATCGAGACAGATAGTCACAACTACTGCCCAGCATGGATACCACAAAGTTTTATTTCCTTTATGCATAAAATTATATGAAGTCTGTGAACATCATTGAAAATTTACTGAAATATAAATGAGTTGTTCATGAAACGAGATTCGGCAAGTTGATACTGCCTTTAGAAACCTACAGTTGGGCATTTGAATCCCCTTTTCTGCATAACTGAACCATGTGACTTTAATGAAAGCAGTTTAACATCTCAAAAGGACAATAGGCAATACCTACCTAAACTAGGGATATTCTAGGGGTTAGGAGAAATAAAAATGTATAGAGTGCCTAGTGTAGCTTTCAATATGAGGAACAACTTCACTATGCATGAGTTAATCCTCCAAGGACAAAGTTATGGAAGATAATGCTAGTTTGAATTATGTTTTTGTGAGGCTTTCAGTAAGATTTTTTACTATTGTGTGGTTGCTATTTGTATTTGGAGGTGTGTGAACCCAATTTACCGGGGAATCCCTGGGATTATCTATTGAGTAATTTTAATCCTCTGGTTGCAGAATCCTTGAACATAGACTCTTGGATGGAATTCAAGGGGCTGAATTTCCCCCTCAAATGTATGAAAAGTCAGAGGTCTATGCATTTTTCCAAGAGGTAAAAGATATTTCCTGTCATCAAATTCTCAAAAGGTTTTTTTTTTAATAAAAATTAGGAACTTCTGTCATTAATAATGTGGGTTTGAGGAACGTATATTTGGAGTTTTTTGGAGGGGACTAAGTCACACCTGACAATGATCAGGGGTTACTTCTGGCTCTGCACTCAGGAATTACTCCTATCAGTGCTCGGGACCATATGGAATTCCAGGGATCGAATCTGGCTTGGCCGCCTGCAACACTACCCACTGTGCTATTACTTCGGCCCCCACAATTTGCAGTTTTTTTAAACTGGAAAGAATACTTTATAAATGTCTTATGTAATGATAATTATAAAGATGCTGCAAACATTTCCTATTACAATTTTGTCACTCAACTTCTCTTATTGACAATGATCAAGTCTAAAGCAATCTCTCAACAGCATGTGTTCTGAAACTTGCATAAACAAATCCAAAAAAAAAGACATCCATGCATGTATTTAACATATATGAACTCTGATTTCTGAGACAGTTTTGAAAAAACGACTTAAGATGTCAAGAAAAGCTGTTCTTAGTATGTGAGAATATCTACCCTATTGATTTTTTTTTCTTTTTGGGTCATACCCGACGGTGCACAGGGGTTACTCCTAGCTCATGCACTCAAGAATCACTCATGGCAGTGCTCGGAGGACCATGTGGGATGCTGGGAATTGAACCCGGGTCGGCAGTATGCAAGGGAAACGCCCTACTTGCTGTGCTATCACTCCCACCCCCTGATTTTTAATCTCAACTAAATCATTTCTAGGGGCCAGGGATGTACCTCAGTGGTAGAGTACTAGCCTTGCATGTTTGAGACCTTAAGTTTGATCTTTAGCACCCCCCCCCAAAAAAAAACCAAAAATCAAAAGACCCCTACTTCAATCATTTATCTAGAAAATTCTGGAAGTTGTTAAACTGGCAGATAATTATAAGTATTCATTTGTAAAGAAAAGGGTTGTGGGAGATGGAAAGAAAATATAGGCCTTGCATATGGCCAACTATATTTCAATCCCCAGCATTCCATATGGTTCCTCAGCGCCACCAGTAGTTATCCTTGAGCACAGGGCTAAACACTGAGCACAGTGAGTATGGCCTAGACACCTCCCAACAAAAGTAAAGGATTGTAGGGATCAGAGAGAATGTAGGCGTTAAGCTCATTTATTGATGCAGCCAATCCCAGTTTGATTCCTGACACCATATGCATCACTGGATGAAGCCTGGAGTTCCCCAGAGGGCTGACACCAGAGGGTCAGAGTATTTTCAGGACCTTATTGAACCAGAGTCAGTTTGCTGATAATTATCAGGGCAGGTCCCTGGTCTCCCTCCTAAACAACTGGGGAGAGACTAACCTCCAATCTGCAAACCTCACCTCCACCAAAAAAAAGGGGGAGGTTTAAAACTATTTTAGAAAATATGCATGTCCTTCCTTACCCAAGATTCGATTTCATCAACTTGTAAAGGTTCAAGAAAGAACTGTCAGGAACTCCATGCTGTTTCCTAGTGCTAGATTCTCAAATTACCCACACTTTTATCAAGAAAGATGGAGAGATAGTAATTTAAATCACATAAATTAGGATTTATGTGAACTCTGTTAAAACATTTAATTTTTGTTAAATTTTTATTGAATAAAGCCAAATGGGCTGGAGCGATAGCACAGCAGGTAGGGTGTTTGCCTTGCACGCAGCCAACATGGCCGACCCGAGTTCGATTCCTCCACCCCTCCCGGAGAGCCCAGCAAGCTACTGAGAGTATCTCGCCTGCATAGCAAAGCCTGGCAAGCTACCCGTGATGTGTTTCATATGCCAAACACAGTAACAACAAAGTCTCACAATGGAGACATTATTGGGCCCACTTGAGCAAATTGATGAACAACGGGAGGACCATCTGAAAGCCACATGAAGAGCTATTTAAATTACACATGACTCATGAACAACATGGGTTTTAACTGCACAAGTCCATTTACGCAGGGATTTTTCTTGAATTATGTAAATATATAGTATCAATACTGTAAGTGCGTTTTTCACTTAGGATTTTTTAGCAACTCATTTCATTGAAAGAATACAGGTATAGAAAACATCAAATGTACAGTATATTTGAACTTGACTCACTGGTTTTACCAATATGGCTTCTAGTCAAATTTGGGGGAAGTCAGATTAGGATTTTCAGCTGCTTGGGGATTTTCCCCTACATTTTTTTTTAAGGAGCAACTGTTCTGATGATGATTTTATATCAGGGAAGTAGATTGCCCCGATCAGAGAATTAAGACCCTAGAACATCAGGAATAGCATTGGGCTCTGTTGGAACAAGTATTTTGGGGCCATGATGAAAGGTTCAGGAGCACAGGATGGAGAATACTGGTTTCCCCTGTCTCTAAAAGCAAATGCTACTATAAAGCCCAAATCTTGTGATTAGTTTATATTTTTTAAAAAACGTTTAAGCATTCTCAGACTCAAACATTAATTTGCTAAATCTTACTGAATAACACATAAAACCTAAAATAACACCTACAGGAAGGAGTGATACAATAAATGCACAACCTGCATAAAGTAGGCCCCAGGGAAAGAGTTTGGCAGTGCAACTTTAGCTGCTGAGTGCCCTGCTGAGTGAAAAGTCAAGTCTTCCAAGGGCAACTCAGGCAAATGAGTGCTTCAACTTGGAGAGCGTGGAGAGTAAGGCAGGACTCTGCAGCTGTGCGGTGCTATGGCAAGTCGAGCGGCAGTATCTTCTAGCAAGTGGTAGTAAAACCGTTAGGACTTGTTCTCTCCATGGGAAAACTAATATGTTCTAGTTCTCAACAAAAGAAAATTATTCATTCATCAAGCCATCATATTATTGGAAAGTTTACTTTTACTCAGCATCTGCAAGAGAAAGAGGTCTTGCTTTAATAAACATTACTAAGTGGTGGTTAGTAATTACTAACCTGCTGAAACCTGCAGGTTTAGAACTCCCATGTGAGACCACAGTAGCTGAGATATATTTTCCCTGCTAAGGCAGAGACGGTAATGGCATGCGCTAGTCAGAAATCACACTTCCAAAGTTGTTTTCAGAAAGAGGTAGAATAAACCCTGGTAGCTGAGCCACAGATTTGACTGGCAGCTGGAAATACGGTGCATCCATTCACACCTTCTGTTGAAGTATTTTTACTTATACTGGCTTCTATGAAGGCCTAAAAAAAGAGAGCCCTTCACAGAATGGAAAGAATTTTGTTATTCCTTCCATATGGCATCAACACTGTTATTCTAAATTACCTCAGTCAGAAAGCCCCAGCAGACATTTTCATTGTAATCAAATGCAATAAAACACAGAAAGAATGTCTTTAGTCAAACAGTGAGTTTTATATTATGCAAGAAGTGCAAATTGAGACTAAGCTCACTTGATGGATATGAAGAATTTTATTGGGATGGGGGAAGGAAACAGCCAATGTTTGTGGTACATTCTTACATTGGGTTATCCATACAATCTTTTATATGATTACTACTTATCACTAAGGAAAGAATGTTTCTTGCAAGCGAGTAAATTTATCATGCTTTATAAAGTTAATCCCTAATGGCCTATGAGATTTATTCTAGGAGAATGCTCCAGGCCCCAAACAAAGCTGATATCACCGGGAGGTCCCAGATGGGGTAGGTGCTGCCATCCCACCTTCTCCAGATGGAATCCTGGTGACCATGAGCTTCTACAAGCATGGCTCTGGCATGCGGGTACCAGAATATTTCCTTATACGCAAAGTGATCAATGGAAAGTAAATCATCCAACATTTTTCCCTGAAAATCAGGCTTGAATGGTGGTGGGAAAATCTGAGCAAAAAGATAATGCCCAACCGAAATGCATCTGGACAGTGTATTTAACTATGGTGCTATGCCACCCTGGGAGGGGAAGGGTGTCTGTCCCTCCACCTGTCCCCCTCTGTGGCTGCGACATGTTGTCCTGCATTTTTTAGAGCCTAATGAACAGACAAGTCTAAATGTTGGGGAAAATTCCAAATAGCAGAGGTGGTTCTTTTGTCGTAATATTGGATGTGATCAACAGAGAGAGAGAGAGAGAGAGAGAGAGAGAGCGCAAAGCGGAAATCTGCCACACAGGTGGGAGGTGGGTGGGAGGGGGGTATACTGGGGTTCTTGGTGGTGGAAAATGTGCACTGGTAAAGGGACGGGTGTTTGATCATTGTATGACCGACTGAGACTTGAACTGAAAGGCTTTGTTACTGTTCTCATGATGATTCAACAAATAAATTTTTTAAAAAAGCAAAAAAAAAAGATTTATTCTAAAGATTAGAATATAACCAGGCTGACATGTACTTGGATATGCTAAGCATCTTATTAATGTTTAAAACATTAAGGATGGGAGCTGGAGTGATAGCAGCGGGTAGGGCGATTGCCTTGCACACAGCCGACCCAGGTTTGATTTCCAGCATCCCATATGGTCCCCGCACCATCAGGAGTGATTCCTGGGTGCAGAGCCAGGAGTAACCCCTGTGCATCGCCAGGGGTGACCCAAAAAGCAAAAAATAAAAAAAAAACATTAAGGATAGCCCAATAATAATCACATCCTAGCTACCACTTAGAATTCAATTATTTCTCTTCAGTTATCTCTATCAGTTCTTTGGGGTTCTTTGTGTATTCATCCACAGTCAAGATGTTGACTTCTTTCCATTCTCATAAGTAGCTCTCTGGGTTTTGGTTTTAGGGCAAAGACCTGAATTACTCTCTTCATGAGTTTGGTGAACATTCTGTTCTCTCCTTTTCCCATTACCAAGTTTCCATTAATACCAACTCAAATCATTATGTAAATTACATTCACGGGTGATTCATACTCAGTATCAAGACACCACTTGTTAAATGGGTTGTATGTCACAATTGCAATGTGATTTGTGGAAATAGCTGAACAAAACTATGGTACAGTGGGTAGGACACTTACCTGGCACAGTCATCCTGGGTTCACTCCCCAGCAGCCCTAAGCTCTGCTAGGAGTGATCCCTGATCATTGCTGGGTGTGGCCCCAAAGCAAAACAGAAAAACAGCTGAATGAAAAGGGACCTGGAATCTCAGGTCCAGAAATGAAACCTGAAGAATGGTGCAATCTTTGGTAGAGAACTTCAAGGAGAGGAAGTGGGGATGATCTACATGAGGAGTCCTCCGGCATCCCAAGGTTCTTTCTAGATAACCCGGCTATCAGTTCCACCTCAAAAGCCAGAAAAGGATGGGTTTCCATATGTTGATGATGATACTTAAGAATTTTATTTTTTCAAAAGCCCTATAAAATATACAATATACACAGTCCTATAAAAGTTAGATAAATTACAATGTGAGTCTCTACTGCACAACTGAGAAAGTCTTACATTCTTGGTATTCTCCATTTGGCTGTTACTTTTCAGTTTGGCTGAGAACAAGTTTCTTTGTATTCTTACTATTTTTGTTGTGGTTCAAGTTTACCAACTTACTTTATTAGCTGAACCATTGATCAATAGAAATTCATTGTGTTTTAGTCACAACTATTTTGCCAACAGTCATGTTCATCTCATTCTCTGTTGCCGGGAAGAACGAGCCAGGCGATGGTACATTCGTTGATGTCGCTTATTGTATTGGTAATCAGCAGTTCGTGAAAGTTCTTCCTTAACTGAAAGGAAAATATATCAATTAATACTTTGAAGACAGTTGAATGATACTGGTAACTTCCCACCATAAATGGTCCTTGACTTGCATTTCTGATACTGGTGGCCCCAGAAAATTTCAGAACTCAAGAACTATAGGTCAAGTCCTATTGGAGAACCTCTGCTTACTTCCTTCAACAATTCCAAATGAAATAAAAATGCTAATTTCTGTAGCATGGTTCTGGTAAGAGTGGACAAATTGCCATTGTGACAAAAATCATTGTACGCTAAATATATTTTAAGATATCCACCTCCAATTAGCATCCATTACTATGTCTATAAACCAGGGGCTAGAAATGGATATTGAAGTAAGATAGGATATTTGCTTCTCTTCCTCCCCCCAAATTTTTGGGACTTTTATGATTTTCAGATAAGTCAAAATATTAGTCTCCTTTTCTTACACTATTAATAAAACTTGACATTTTCAGATTTTTACTATCATTTATTAACCTCTTAAAATACAACTTCAGCTAGAGCTACTCTACTAAAATATTAAAACTTAATGAATAACATCATCATTCCTAGATTGAGTGGCATTTTCCAGTCCGCAGCTCCCTGGACACTGGTCGTTTCTCTTATATGCATATCATCTTTTCTGTATACTCTTACCTGATTTTGAATATTCCAGTAGTATTACTTCTCCAGTAACCCTTCAATTTCATGAGACCCTGACAAATATCCTTAAGATTTTATAGGTACATCAAGAATATATATATATATCTTTTTTTCCTTCCACTAACACAAACAGTTGACCCTGTTTTTACTCAATATTTTCATTTTCAGAATTATAAAATTATCCAAACTAGGGACCAGAAGCATATAATCTTTGTAGAATTGGGCCCAGAAATATTCTTTTTTGCTCCCATATCTGATGTATCTGATTTATACAATTTACCCCCTGCCAGGCATTTTATATGCCATTTAGTCAGAACTCCTGCATTGTCTGTGACCTGGTTTCTACACAAATGCTTGTCTTTTCGGTTGGGAGAGGGCGCATATGCACTAGATGGCAATAGTCGCTAGGATACATGAGCCTCGAGATTTCAAAGCTAATTTTTATAGAGCACTTATGTGCCAGAAACCGAGAGAAGACTTTGTATGTCTTATTTAATTCTTCCTTTGAAATTATGTCATTGTGATCACTATTATTATTCTACTTTATAGATGAGCAAAGTGTGGCAGAGAGAAATACAGATGAAGCAATTTACCCAAGGTCACAGAAAGTGATAGAATCCCAGACCGTATGATCCTGAATCCTATGCTCCAGCCACTCAATAAATAGCACTACTTTTTCACACAGATCATTATTAGTTCAAAGATTTTGACTGTGATGGCCCCTGGATCTAATTAAAAGATGAGAAATTTCTTCCATTTTGTTCTTTATTTGGGGGGAGGGTGGACCTCAGGAGCTGCTCCCAGAGATTCTCTGTCAACCTGGACAGCAGTTCAATGTGAGGAGCTGAGGATGAGGTGCTGGAGACTACGCTGGCCACCCTAGGTGTGCTCAGGAGCTCTCCAAGGCCACACCTTGCAGTGTGTGAAGGACCATGTGGTGCTGGGATCAAACCCTCATCTTAACTATCCACCTCTTCCTTTTTACTATTAATTACTGATGGATCATTGTACAATAGAAGCTTTGAACATCAACAATATACATTGTAGACCAAGAAAATGGGCCACCCAAATAATGAGATTGAAAGAGAAGAATTTTAAGAATGGAGAACTGGAGGAGACACCAAGTCATACTTCAACAAACTATGAGCTATCAACTCAGTAAATAAAGGTTATGTGCTAGGCAAAATGCAAATAGCAAGAGAAAGGATGTTTCCTCTTGAAAAGCTTGCAATAATTTCCATTGGGTCTATTGAGCAGAGTGGAGGGAAGAACTACATGGGCCAGATGAGGCAATGGCCTTGAAAACATTCGAGTCTGTTGTTATAGAAAATTCTGCAGGAAATAAAGTTTTCCCTTTTTACCACAGGTGAAGAAATGTATCTTGAAGGCTATTTTCATATAGAGGAGTCCTCCATGTCAATAGTGATAATTACATACTACATAAAAAGATTCACCAAATCCTCTCATAGCTTTTGTGCAATTCTTGCCTTGGTTAAAATTCTCACACAGTTGACTCTCAAGTTGGTGATAAATTTATTTACCTGGTTCAAAAAAGATTCATCCATTCAACAGATAGTTATTGAGTACCTACTCCATGCTCAATGTTTCCTGCTGGGTGTTGGCTGAGAGCAAGCTCTGGAGTTAGCCAGAGCTCAAATTCTGTCTCAGCTGCTTTCTAGAAAAGTGACTTGGAGGAAATGTCTAGAGTCATTATAATAAAAATGACTCTGTCTTTTTGAAAGTTATTGTGAGCAGTGGGAATAATAGCTAATAGTTTTTCAGGACAGACATGTTGAGCTTCTTCTCAGTAGCACCTCAGTTAATCTCGTACACCAATATTATAGCTATATCTTACAGATTAGAAAATCTTCAAGAGATCAGAGTGGTCATAGTTATAGATCAGGAATTTAAACCCTACTTGGGATGATTCTATAATATGAGCTCTTAATTTCTCTCTACTAAGCCTTAAGTTATTTTGATTACTCCAGTACTTTTGCCTATTTATTGATGACAACTAAAATACATATGTCAGCCTTAGTGAAAAGTATCCATTCACCCAGTACACTTTCAATTCTCAAGACGTCTATATTAGAATACAAGTTGTTGAAGGCTAGGACATGATCACTTATTGAACCTCATTTTGTATCTATTGCAAACAAAACTTCTCAGAAATTCAGTAGACATGATATTTTAATGGCTATTTTGCAGAATGCCAATTATTTTAAAATCCATTTTTTTATTGGCCAGTGATGATTTGGGCAGCAGGACTTGTGCTAAAAGTAGAGATTTAAGAATGTCAAAACATGGTGAGTTAGAATAATCAAAACTTCCACTCTAGGAGACACTGTCTCTTTGAAAGTTATGTGAGCAGTGGGAATAATGTGAAATGCCCATGACAATGGCTGATGAAGGGTTTGGCAATGGAAAGTTCCAGACTCAGTCCTTCACCTCCAGAGCTATTCCTTGAGGCAATTGACACAGATTGAAGAGTGCAGGATGTTAGAGAATTTTCTTTCTTCCTCTGTGAGAAAATTGATGTTCTCTACACGCTAATTAAATTTACATGCACCATTACCTCCTCACACTTGAAGTGTGAGGATTAATGTTGAATAATTACAATACCTCCACATGCTTTCCATCACATCTTAAAATGCTTCTCTTGTCTCTCGGAAGAGGTTGTATGAGGCAAGCAAACTGATTTTCTGTTTCAGAATGCAGGACTCTGGGGTTCTGTGAATCCACCAGTTAATTCGTCAATGTCCCTTTCTTTACAGGAACAAAATAGAAATGATTACACTTGCCATAACCTTGGCTGGAAGATTAATGATGTGACATTTGACCATCTATTTACAGTTTCTAAGTGGGAGAGGCTAAATGGAAATACAAAATGATAATATTTATGTGGAACTAAGTGATCTCATTTGACCTCAAACTGTACAGAAGATACTACTACTAATCCTCTATAAGAGCCACTACACAGAGAACTATAAATTTCAAAATCTACATGTTCTTAGAGATTGTTTTATTATGAGAAATTTGAATTTGTAATTAAAGGAATCAGATAAATATATAAAAAATAAAGGCATTCAAAGTCTGAAGTTAACATTGGAAAATACCATCAAGAAATATTCTCCCAAAGGGAGAATACACATCCCATTTGGGAAAGGGAGAGAATGTAAGTAAAGCAGTAATTAAACAGAAAACTCTTTGAGTGTGTGTGTGGGGGGGGCGGGGGTATTGCACCCATCAGGGCCCAGGGTTTAGTTGTGGTTCTCTGTGGTACTAGGGGATTATTTGTGGTGACAGGGATAGAACCAGGGTCAGCTGTGTGCAAAACAAGCACCTTACTCCTCTACCACTTCTCTGACTCCTGAGCAGAAAACTCTTGAGAATAACATAGCATGAATTACTTCTAAGCTATTACCATGATCAGTTTGCACTCATTGTCCCTGATTTCCTCATCGAACTAAAATTGAAACACACTCTCAACAGTGACACAGACAATACTTTGGTCTACTTGGCTGAGCAATTCTCTCTTGGCACCGTTCAGGCTCATTGGCAGGCCAATAACAACAGTGTATTTAAAGTCATTAGTGTTTGCTCCAGTAATAACTTCTTTACATTAAGTGATGGATGCAAAGATTTCTATTAGGCTATAATAAATAGCTCCTTTCACTTCCCCCTCCCTCAGTCTTCCTTGTCTCCTTCTTGGTAGTGCAGAAGTTCCAGGCTCACCAGCAAAATTCAGCAAAAGTGGTAGCAGAAGAGAGACACTGTGTTATTTTTAAGCTGTGCAATGGTCTTGCCTTAAGCCTTAAATGTGACTGTTCAGCTTTAACTTCAGGATAAGACTTAGTGGCATATAGGCTTGTCTTTCTTCTATTCCTTTGACTACACAACTAATGGAATCAGAACCAGAAATACAGATTTACAACATCCTTTTCAAGATTTTGCCAAAGATCTTTTGTGATGTTTTATAGCTGGAAGCATTTTTTTCTCTGTCCTGAAAGCTCATGGTAAAGATCTGTTCTAGTAATTAGGAAAATTCCTGGAAAATGTAGATTGTCAATCATTTGTTGAATGAATACACAAGACTATTTTCTGTCCAGAAGTATGATTCAAGTTTGGAACTTGATTCAATACAAAGCAAGTAAAAAAATTATGGAAGATTCAGTAATGTACCAGAACTTGAAATGAAGAGAGAAGGGAGAAGAGAGAATAGATCTTTGCACCCTTAACTCAAATGCTATGTGGGAAGAAATTTCAGTGTCATCGAGCACCTCGGGTGAGCTTGTCTCAGATGTGTTCTCTAGGGGCTGGAGCGATAGCACAGCGGGTAGGGTGTCTGCCTTGCATGTGGCCAACCTGATTTTGATTCCTCTGTCCCTCAGAGAGAGCCTGGCAAGCTACTGAGAATATCTCATCTACACGGCAGATCCTGGCAAGCTCCACATGGCCTATTTGATATGCCAAAAACAGTAACAACAAGTCTCACAATGGAGATGTTACTGGTGCCCACTCGAGCAAATGGTGAACAATGGGAGGACAGTGCTACAGTGATCTCCAGTCAGCGTACACAAGCAGGAAGGTATTGAAGAGTTCAGGGTGTCACCACGGTCACAATGATATCCAAACAGTGAGAGTTTAGCTCATTGCCCCATTTTATCCTGCATCAGCTCCCTGTGAGGTCAGCCTCCATTCTCTGAGGCAAATTGGCTTTTCTAGGGCATTCTGAAGGAAAGTGATTGGTTCTCTTATTCTGCAGAACTAAGGTGACAGCTAAGAAAAAATACTGTAGGCTCATTTAGTCTTTACAAACATTAAAGATTTGTCTCCATAGGTCATGCAGGAATAGTTAATGCTATAAAACCCAATCTCAAGCTATTTTGCAGAGACTGTTCTAAATGCCACTTGTCCTGCTGAATCATTTTCCCTATAGTGACCAGAAAGTAAAAACCCATAGGAGACTTGGGCATTCATGACATGGTCTTGGCCTCATCTTAAAGCTTGGTGCATGTTTGAGGTATGAAAATTATATCTACCCAGAGAGGCAACCAGATATACAATGTGAAGTGGTATAAAGCACTTAAGCTTCTGCATGTGAATCAGCATCTTTTTCCTGCCTCAAAGGTTATACAGCATTAGTGGGAGTTCTGGCACAAGCGTGATCTACAGAGGTCATGACAACAGACATGAGAGGCCTGCAGTGGGAGGCAGTAACATATTTCTGAGACTCTGAGGGGATACTGAGTTTGGGTCTTGAGGGGTTCTATTCCCCCTTTCAGAAACTGCTGTCCAGGGCTTGCTGATAAGAAATGGCTAACTGGTGAAATGTCTAGCACTTTGGTTGTGAGCACAGTGGAGGGTAAGCTAACATAATAAACAAATGGATTTATCACATAAATAGCATACAGTAAGACAGAATACTCAACAAGAGAACCATTTATTTAAAAAACGAGACAGGAAAAAGCTGGGGGCATTTTTGAGTACATTGTGACTGAACACTTGGATTTCATATAATATTGTTCATTCTCCAGGATTTCTTTATGTTCTAAATCTCAGAAATAAATATTGTACTATATTCTTTTTTAATGCTGTATGGGATAGTATTTATCATTCTAGATTCTCCATATCTGTATACATAATAGTTAGTCATTGCTTGGACCTGCCAAGTTTTTGTGGAAGAAGAGGGACTTTCAAGCTTTTATATAAACCTTGATACAATGCCATCCAAATTAAATACATATTTTTGTTGAGATGGCTAAAATACTCATTGACCTTTATAGCATTAATGTTTGCTGGCTATATAGCCCTGTTTCTTTCTTTTTCTTTTTCTTTTTGACCCAATGCTTTTTATTTATTTATTTTTCACAGTTACAAAATTGCTTATGATTGGGTTCAGTTGTATTATGTTCCAACACCCAGCCCTTCACCAGTGTAGATTTCCACCACAGTTTCCACAAAATGTCCACAGTTTCCCTCCCCCTGGTTCTCCTGCCTCTGTGGCAGGTACTTTTCTTCTCTCTCTCTCTCTCTCTCTGTTTATTCTCTCTTTCTTTTTGGGCATTATAGTTTGCAATACAGATACTGAAAATTTAGCAGATATATCACTTTACCTACTTTCAGCACTCAGATAAATGTTCAAAATAATCATTTACAAATATTATTGTCATATTGGTCCCTTCTCTATCCTAATATAGCCCAATTTCTTTCATTTCAATTAACAAAGAATAAACACTCTTCTTCCTGAACCCCACTACTCACATCTACATCAGTGGAAGCTTCTGAGGTTGTATAAGTTTTTGTTTTGTTTGGGTTTTGTATGTGTTAACATTTACAATTCCATGTAAAATTTATAGCAAGTCATTAAATACTTATTAGGACTTTATATTTGCCGAACAATGTCAAAGTACCATGTTTGGCACAATGTGGGTATAAAAAAATATGTGTGTGGGCACATACTCCCTGGCACAGTCACACATGCCTTCAAATAGAATAAACCAATCATGAGAAATGATTTAATGTTTGAAAATCTCTTACCCTTAGACACAGACAAGAAACCCTATGCCAACTACCAGGTCAATTTTTCTGAGACAGAGTTCCAGTTATGGAGCTCTATAGCTTCCCTGTAGCTCCTAACTGGAGCCCAGTAGCAAGTGTTCATAGTCTTACCCATGATCCTCACTACTGAAAGGATTAAACATTACCACATACACGCATGAAGCTATCTTGAAAAAGAGAAGTATCAACAAATCAAAACGATTTCTCCAGACAGATGGCCCACAAATGCTGAGAGAGCATTGGCTTGTCCCAAGAGTGTGTCAGAGGCCAGGACCTCACACCCCTGCCTGTGTGGCTTCACACTTACCCTCAATCAGTTTGATTCTGAAGTAGGCAATGAGAAGAAATAGCAGCAAAATCACTGGCAAGAAGATTCCAAAGAAGAGGAACCAACCAGGGAGCTCTCGCACATACTCTGACAGCACTGAGGTCATAGCCAATCTCTCAGACCCCCCTCCACCCCAGGCTAGTGGTGTCCACATTGAGACCAGGTACTGCGGCAGACTTCTTCAGAATCTATATTCGTTTTCTTCTGGGGCTCTGTCCTTTGCTCAGCACTTCTTGCTGGAACTTTTTGTGGACTTTGCTCTATTTAAACAACCCCATGAATTCTGAGAGGATTGCTGGCAGGTTACTCTGTAACTTAGCTCCAAAACATTGACAGCTGAGAGCTGAATGCCTTAGGCCATTCTGAAGATGAGGATTTATCTGGTCCCATGGAAATGATACCAGAAAGTCTAAGAGTTTTTTGTTTTCTATTTATTTGCGATGAAGTAAAGTTCCTGAATTCAAACAAAACTTCTTGTGACCTATCGTCTTCCCATATATTTCCAGACAATGAAGTTTTTTCTGCATTTTCTATTTCAGAGTTAAAAAATTACTTAGCAAACATGTTAGAGTACCTATAAACCTAGATAAACAATATAGAGAAAGAAAATATTCCTTCATATAGAATTAAAACAAAAACAGTCCAAGAAGGAGAAACAAGCATTCCGGCCCATTTGAAAACTTTTTCTGTTGTACCAGTTCTGGAAACTTTTCTGAGAAGCGCATTGGTTATTTTTCAATCAACATTGGTTCTACTAGAATCCACAGTCATTGATAGTTGCTGGATATTTGAAAATAGTAAATCATCATCCCTCCCTCTGAGAGTGGCAGAAACAGAAAATGACCACCGTAGTAATGATGGTAGGGATGACTAGATTACGCCTTTTTCTTCTTCCCTTGGTGAATCAGCTTTTGCTTGCTCTACTAGTACTTTAATCTCAGCCCTATTCTGTTTCTATAAACCACCATCCATTTCTATAAGCCCTACTCATTTTTATAAACCACCATTACTAATAGAAGGTAATACTTGTATGGTAATGATATGGTTGTTTAACAGGCACACACCCTTGGCGGTGGGGGAAGGGGGAGGGGAATGCACCATGTCAACATTGACTTGGTTAAGTTACCAGTGACTAGTGAAAATGCCCAAAGAAAGTGTCTACTGGGGCTGAAGCGATAGCACAGACGATGGGGCATTTGTCTTGAAAGAAGCCATGCAAGGTTTGTTTCCCACCACCCCATATGGTCTCGAAGCCTATCAAGAGTGATCCCTGAGTACAGAGCCAGGAGTAAGCCCTGAGCACTGCCAGATGTGACTCCAAAACAAACAAAAATGGTGCCTACTAAATGAAAACTAACTGACATCATTTTCACATTGAAACTATCTTCTAGGCCCACTGGTCTGCCTTGGCAGAGTCTGAGGGACGTGCTGCTGTAAAGCAGTATCTCCTAAATTCTTCCTCAAGGTCTTTGCATGGTCATATAGTTTGATATCAATGGTAAAGCTAGCACCTTAATTTATAAAATGATAAGAGTGGGTAGGGTCTCTGAGATGCTTGGCTGGCATCCAAATAATTAATATCTCCTCTCAGAAAAGAGACACTTTAATTTCAGAAAAGGTCTACAGGGTACTCTAGATTACATCAGCATTTGTTGTGTTTCATTTGCTTCTCTTCTTCACAAATCTTTGAGTGCTGCTATTACTTGTATGTGTCTTCCAATGAGATGATTGCCCAGTGCTCTTTCGGCTCTAACAGGAGATGCTAATTTGTAAAGCTTCAATCCACAAAGAGACTTCAGGAACAGGTGACATTATCAGCAAGATGTTAGGCAGCTATTAGGCAGACTGTGTGTCACATTCTTCCTTTTCATTTCATTCCAGTCAACAAGCCTTCATGGAATGTCTAGACAGAGGTAAGTAAGAGGGACAGCAAATATATACATGGCAATAATGTAAACTACCAGTTTGACATATGAAGGGCAATGGAGGTTCTGAAGAGTGATTTATTTCAGTTTAAGAGATGGGGCTGTGCTTATTTAAAAAGATAGGATTTGAGCTGAACCTGACAATGGGGAGCTGAGTAGTACTTTCCTCAAATAAATATGTGCCACAGAGCAGGGCAGAGTTTATAGAAGATAGGGTACAATTAAGAGCTACTAAATGATTAGAGTTCAAGCAAGAAGCTTACAATTTAAAGGTGGAAAGAGAAGTAGAGTTTACTGTCTTAAATATCCTCCTACATATTGCAACTTAGGATCTGGAGAGATAATACAGGAGTTAAGGTACTTGCCTTGATCAAAGGTACTTGGTTTGATCACCTTTGGTCTCTTAAGTACTGCCAGGAGTAATCCTGAGCCCAGAGTCACAAATAAGTAGGAAGGAAGGAAGGAAGAAAGGAAGTAAGGAAGGAAGGAAGGAAGGAAGGGAGGGAGGGAGGGAGGGAGGGAGGGAGGGAAGGGAGGGAGGGAGGGAAGGAAGGGAGGGCGAGAAAGAAAAGCAATCTGTATAGTAATGAACTGAATAATGGAAGTACGTGATCTGATTTGGTTTTAGGAAACTCTTGGAAAGTACTTTAAAAAATGAACTGTAAAGAAGAGAGATCAGAGTAGGGTGTCTGAACACGGTAACAAGATATAATAATCTGACTTGAATGCAGCTGACCCTGGTTCAATCCCCAGCACCCATGAATCTATTTCCCAAAGTTGAGAGTAAGCTCTGAGCATAGAGGGGTATGGAGCATCCCCTCCTCAAATATGCAAGAGAAGTAGTAGAATAGGAAGAAGGGGACAGGGAGACTAGAGATGACATGAACAGTCCTTCATAAATAATTAGATGAAAAGGTAGGGTAGTTACATGCCACAAATAATTATAAAGAAATTATTGAGTAATAGAAATAATTATATTTCACAAACATACATCTGTGAAAATAGACATATTACTTTGGGGAAAATAAACCTTCCCATTGCTTTCTTTAATAGCAAATGCTCCCATAGTTGATTGACATGATTTAAAGCCAGGTAATTGCAGATATTGAGATTTGGGAGTGAAAATCTGGAGAATTCCTATACCATCTGTTAAACTCTCAGTGACAGCTAAGCAAAAGTTGACCTTAGGTAATTGCGACCTGTTAAGGGTAATAGCAAATCATCAAGCTTTTGGTTTGGAGTCTGCCTTTATCTTCCTGAGCCATAAAGAATGACTCATTCCAGTGACATGCCCTAGAGCAATGAAAGTTCTGAAGTCCATCAGGGGGAGTTGCCAAAATGTCATAGACAGATATCTGAAGTATCAAATTATGTCCAGCTACAAAGTCAATTAAAAATTAAATACAAGCAAAACCAATTAATTTTGAATGTCGTGCCTCGATTTAATTACATGGGAGCTGTTTTGCTGAAATTAAGTATAACCCACAGTGTCAATGTAGTACTGATGGCTTCAAGCGCTCTTTGTGTAGAAAGAACTATATTTTTCTGCCCCTGGTTAATTGCCCCACTGAACTTGGCTCATTAGTCCATGTCAATCAAAGTAGTATAACTTGACACTTGTTCTGTAGTCAACATGAAAATAAATCTTCTGAAATCATGTGGCTCTGGTAGGCTAAAGGTACTCATAAAAGCAATGACCACACACTGACAAAAAAATGACTGAAAGGTAAAAAATAAGAGAGTTCACTGTCTTGTTAGTAACTCTTTCTTTTTAGCATTTCCTATTGGTGTAAATACCTCTAGTATTTATGAAATTTTGAATAATTGTACTTTAATTTTTATGTAGGGTGTTTGCCTTGCACGCAGCTGGCCTGGCTGAGCCAGGTTCAATTCCTCCACCCCTCTGGGAGAGCCTGGCAAGCTACTGAGAGTATCTCGCCCGCACGGAAAAGCCTGGCAAGCTACCCATGACATATTCAACATGCTAAACACAGTAACAACAAGACTCACGACGGAGACATTACTGGGCCCACTCGAGCAAATCGATGAACAACGGGAGAACAGTGACAGTGACAGAATTTTTATGTACAATTATTACAGCTACAATTCAGAAAGCTGCTTTTAAAATTCTTTCATTTTTAAAACAAAGCTTTCTTTTTGGGGTTGAGGGTCACACCCAGCAGTGGTCAGTGCTTACTCATAGCTCTGTGCTCAGGAATCATTCCTGATGGGCTCGGGACCATATGGGGTGCTAGGAATTGAACCTAGGTCATCTACTTAATCACTTAATCACTTAACTTCCCGTTAGTCGTCGATTTGCTCGAGCGGGCGCCAGTAACGTCTCCATTTGTCCCTGTCACGTGCTAGTGTAGCCCAATGGCATCTGTTCGCTCTGGGAACATGAAGAGCCTCAAACCAACCGTTCATGATCTTGACGAAGAAGTCTGACCATCTGATAGGTGGGCGGCCACGCGGTCTTTTGACATCCCATGGAATCCAGTCGGTAACAGTTCTAGTCCAGCGGTCGTCTTTAAATCTCATTACGTGACCAGCCCATCTGATTTTCGACACCTTGGCAAATGAGACAGCGTCCCTGATTCTTGATCGTCGATGGATGTCAGAACTCCAGATTCTTTCTCTCATTTGAGTGAAACGTGATATTCCAAGCATAGCTCTTTCTATTCTTCTTTGGGAGACCTGAATAGCGTTCTCATCTTGTTTGCGTAGGGCCCAGGTCTCTGAGGCATAAGTTAATGCAGGAAGAACAGTGGAATCAAAGAGATGTGCCCGGAGGTTCTTCGTCCTCTTAGCTATTGCTTCAACATTTTTGAAGGCGTTCCAAGCCGCTCTCTTCCTCCTGCGCAGCTCGGGTGCCAGGTCATTTGTCATGTTGACCTCTCGACCTAGGTACACATAGCTGTTGCATTCGGAGATGGTCGTTCCATTGAGAGCGAATGGGGCATCAGGAACGAGGCTGTTTCTCATAAACATTGTCTTTGTAATATTCAGCTGTAGTCCTACCTTTCCACACTCACGGTCAAAGTCGGCCAGCATTTGTGCCACTTGGCTGATGTTTGGTGTTATTAAAACATTGTCATCAGCAAAGCGGAGGTGGTGTAATTGCCGACCATCTATCTTCACTCCCATTCCTTCCCATTCCAGTTGTCGCATGATGTTCTCGAGGGTGGCACTGAAGAGTTTCGGTTAAATGGTATCACCCTGCCGCACCCCTCTCTTGACATCAACGATCACTTCTTTGTAGAATGGTGAGATCCTGGTAGTGAATCTGCAATACAGCTCACAGAGGATCCTGATGTATTGGGCTTGAATGCCCT